TCCCACCCAGAGGGACCCAGATGAGCATGAGACATGGGATTGTGGGAACATCAAATTTAACAAGGCCAAGCTCAAAGTCCTGCACTTGGTTCCAGACAAGCCCAAGCACAAGAACAGGCTGGTAGAGAATGGAGTGAGAGCAACCCTGGAGAAGCAGTGGGGGTGTTGGTGCATGAGAAGGTGACATGACCCAGCCATGTGCCCCTGCAGCCCAGAATCCAGCTTGTCCTGGGCTGCAACACAAGGAACAGGGGCAGCAGGGCCAGGGAGGGGATTGTCCCCATCTAGTCTGCCCTTGTGAGACCTCACCTGGACTGCTGTGTCCAGCTTTGCTTCCTCAGCATAAGAAAAACATGGACCTGTCAGACCAAGTCCAGAGGAGGCCATAAAGGTGCTCAGAGGGCTGGAGCCCCTTTGCTATGAGAAATTTGGGCTGTTGGAGAAAAGAAGGCTCCAGGGAGACCTTAGAGCCCCTTCCAGTACCTAAAGGGGCTCCAAGAGATCTGGAGAGGGACTTTGGACAAGAGCCTGGTGTGAGAGAACAAGGGGAAATGACTTCAAACCAAAAGAGGGCAGGGTTAGGTTAGATATTAGGAAGGAATTCCTGGCTGGGAGGGTGGGGAGGCCCTGGCACAGGTTGCCCAGAGAAGCTGTGGTTACCCCCTGGATCCCTGGAAGTGTCCAAGGCCAGGCTGGACAGGGCTTGGAGCAACCTGGGATAATGGAAGGTGACCCTGCCCATGGCAGGGGATGGAACAAGATGACCTTCCAGCCTAAACCATTCTATGAATCTATAATTTTATGAATGCTTCTAAGATGAGTCCTACTTTTGCTGTTCTTTAGCATTTATTTTATTAATGCTCTGCTAATCCAGTTTGGGCTGGTAAGACAAAAACGGATAAGTGGCTCCTTAGACCACATATTATTTTATCTAAGTCTTTGTTTTTTCTTCAGGCTGATAATGCCTTCTGTTGTTATTTAAGCAAGTATTATTTAGGACAGAAAATTTGCAGTGTAGTTGTGTTTATTTTTGAATTTCCCTTTCATGTAGGTGTCTGCTATCTCTGACAGTAAAACCTCAGTACCAACCCTCAACCATGGTGTTTCTTCCATTCTTTACTCAGCTGCACTACTTTTTGCTGGTTTCTTTTTCCTCCATACTAGAAAGACTTGGTTTTGAAGCAGAGACCTTCTAGTCCTGTTACATTTCCCACCTGCTGACTCACACAGCACATGGAGCTGTTCAGGAAACAATTGCTCAGTAAGAGTGTTCTTTCTGTTCTTTCTGTTCCAGCATCCTGATCGTAATTTCACTACCTATGTTTCCTAACCAGCTTTGTACTACTCCAGCTTTTTTGCTGACTGATTCTCTAACCATTAGAATGGTTCTGGAATGGTTCTCTGACCCTAACTGTAAATCCACTGTGTTGGTGCTGGTTTTGGAGCAATTGAATTGTTACTGACGTACAGTGGTACCAGTGACTTGCCATCTGATGTGATTGTATGTACTGAAATAACGTTGCTATGCCTCTGAAATACCTTTTAAAATACAACATGTCACAAACGAAGAGGTTGGCAGTCAGTGAACAGTAGGGTGCATCAGATAAGTAACAGTGGAAAAAAAGCCAGTGGACAACCTGAAAAAGTCTTGTGTTGGTTTTGTTCGTCAAATTGCAACAAAAAGTTTTACTTAATTTAATTGATGAAACTATGCAAGATAGTTACTTGTGCTTCAGCCTTGCAGTGGAGGGCATGTCAGTGCCCATGTCAGGTGTAACCTCTGGGGGGACAGGAAAAGTTGGCTCTTTCTGTTGGGGGTCCTGGCAGGAAGTGGCAGAGAAAATGAGAGATGTGACAGAGAAGGGAGGAGCAGGGTCTGGAGACCTCAGAGAAGAAAGTGGAGGAGACACACAAACAGAATTTAGGAGAAGACTTCCTCTGTTATCTGGAGACTCAGAGGGACTGTGTGCACCCTGCTGAAACCAGAGGGCTGATGAAACCTGCTGGGCAAGCAGCAAGGCTGGGAGGAGGAACCTACCCTGGAAGGCTTTGGGCAGGAGGATATGTTTGACTTCCACGTTATATGAATCTTTTTTTGTCATTTCTAACCCAGCATAACTCAGGATTTTTTTCTTCTGTCAGAACTTAGTTTGTAATGTAATAAGATACAGCTTTAGAAATGCAAAAGTTCTGGTATGCAAAGTTTAAAGGAGGAGAGGTAAGCAGAGTTAGCTCTATTAATCTCCACAGTCACAAGCCCCACTAGTTTCTTCAGTAACTTCCAGCTGAAACCTTCTCACCTGCCCTGTCACACTGATGGAAATCCTTGCTCAAATCATCTGCTCTGGAAATCTCTGGATTTAAGGCTTTTCGCATGCAGAGTGCAGATGTATCCATAGTTATTGTCCTGTTTTCAAGCTTTGTTGCCATTTTGATTTGTAAAAATGTAAACAAAAATGAGAGACACAAAGGGGGCTTCTGTGTTTCCAGTACAGAGAGTAGCTGAAAACACTTCTGCTGGTCAGTTAGAGTGGCTGGCTTTCAAAACCACTATTTCATGGAGGTGAAAGGGTGCTTAGTATGTTCTCTAATTTGGTTGAATGTTTTTCTTGCATTTCAGTGCTTGGAGGCTCCAGCAAATTTGGGGAAAGTGAATCCAACAATGATTTCCTGTGTTGGTTCTGTGAAGTTTAAGGTTTTGGTGCTGAATTGGTGCTTTTGTTCAGAAGATGGGGTTAACTCTAGAGAGATGGAGAGATTTGAAAATAAAATATTTCTATTTAAGATACATTTAGATGAAGAAATTTTAATTTATGTATTGTTTCAGGTCTGTTTCAGAAGTTCAGTTGCTACAGTGTACCATGGAGTGTAACTCAAGAGTCACTATGCAATTTAGTTTTAAATGCAACACACTGTGAGCCTGGTTTCTGAAGGCTGAATGTAATTTTGATGATAGAGGTTTTATATAAGATGATTGCATTTGGCTTAAAACTGAGGGCAGCGGGGTTTCTGTTAGTCTGCTGATTTTCTCCTTTCCTGTTCCATACATCAAAGCCCTGTCACACAGCTTCACTTACAGCACAGGCATTTTATTTAGCTTCAGAATTTAAACATGAAAAAATCTTGAGCAAGAGACCTGTAGGGAATGCCCTGACACAGGAGAAATGCTGGTTGTGTTGCATTGGTGTAGGTCTGTTATTCAAGCATCTGTACTGAATAAATCCAGGCTGCTGCTTGGGGTCACATAGTCCTGGACTTGTGGCATTGCTAATGCTCAGATAATACTGTTTTGTTTAAAACACATTTCCTAGCATTGTATTTATTGTCACTTTCACTTTTTTAAGAAAAATTTTACTTCATTGTTCTCATGATTAAGAAGAATTCAAAAATGTGTTTTTAAGTGCCTTCTAAAACTGGGACCAAAGGAAAGCAATCCCTACTCCAGACACTTATATGGAATCAGATCAGTCTTGGGAACACACTCACGATTCTTGGATGGTTGGGTTGTGCAATTTGATTGAGATGATAAGTATAGTTAGAGCAGAGCCCTGACTGCATTATAAGCCTTCAATCTACATGGGATTTGAAGTGAAAAAATGCTGGCAATATCTCAAGTGCTTATTCCTGATCTCTGACAATTTTCACTGAATTTACATTTTGTCCTACAGACTTTCTAATAGGAGATTACAGATACCAGATATAACAGTTCTCTCACTGACATGGAGCTTTATAGGATGGACTGCTCAGGATGTGTAACATTCCTGCTCCATGATGCCAGTTCTCCTTTCACAATTTTGTTTAATACTTCAAAACCTAAGATAGTTTAGCTCAACCTTGTAGGTAACAGCTGTTTATGTTATTTTTTTCCTTCTTCAGTTAGGTTTTTGTTCTTCACAGATATGGCTGTAACAGTTGAAGACTTTTCTTTTATCTGTTTAAAACTGCTTTGTACTATATTTAGCTTATCTCCTTTGCGTAAGCACATAAGTTATCTTTAACTCAGGTAATGAATGTAGCCTCTTAAAATACCTAAAATGACAACCTACTCTGGTGTAATAAATCATGTATTAGTCAGAATCAGGTTACCTTTGAAAAAGCACCTGTGGAATGCTGTGAAAGTCTCATATAGTTTGCAGGGTCTCTTCTCTTGTTATTAAATATTTTCAATTTTCCAATTAGAAACAAGTACCTGGAGAATGGTGAACATCTATGTACTTTAACTTAGCAGGATTGTTTTGAAAAGAGCGTGCAGACACCTCAGTATTTTTTATTTATGAGAGTGACAAATACCATTTCCCCCCCCATACTAAACAGACTTGTGTACCTCTGGATATTAGCCTGCATTCTGTGGCTGCTGGTCAGAGCAATATGCTGAGGGGGAAGCTGGGGAGTAAATCTTTTGGAGGATTCTGTGTTGGCAGGTTCCATGAGCAGCTCACACAGACATGGAACCACTGCCTGAGTCCTCTCACTGCATGTTTTGTTACTGAGCACTGTCCTACATTACCTGCTTCCTAAAAGGCTTTTAAAGCCTCTGAGGGAGCAAGTTCTGATATATGAGACGAAGGGACCTGAAGTATTTTGCATTTGCATTCTGCTGTTCTGTGAATACAAAGATAAGGAAGTTTCTCACTCTTTTGGGCTATAAGACTATCACTCATGTCTGCCCATCATTGCTCCAAATTATTATTTATTATTAATACAACGGCACAGATGGGAATGATTCTCTCTCTCAGTGGGATTTAGTGTTCATCTTAAATTGCTACTTTTGAGCAATTTAAATTGCATTTGATCAGAACCTGAGTGAGGCAAGTCCTGGCCTTGATCGCCTTGTGTGATAAAGGGTCATAGATTTTGGATTTGCGGATGAGAGGAGAGCAGTGATACCTTTTACCCAAGTCAGCAGGCCTGGCACTGCTCCCACAGCACTGCGGTGGGGCGGGCGGGTGCATCCGCTGCCCGTCCAGCCCTGACCACGCTGTTCTTTTGCTGTTTTGCAGGCAAGAACTGGGACCTGACGGCGGCTCTGAGTGACTATGAGCAGCTCCGGCAGGGCCACACGGCCAACCTGCCCCGGGCCTTCAACGAGGGCAGGGCCGCTGCGGCAGGAGCCAGAGAGCCGGTGCCCCGGCTTGCGCCCGGGAGCGGGCCCTGCCTGCAGGCAGAGATGGACATCGGCCCGAAGGTGAGCAGCCCGCCTGGCTACAGGCAGCGGATGACATGGCCCAAGGGTGAGCGGCCCTAGCCTGCACGAGGCAGGTGACATGGCCAAGTGAGCGGCCCTGCCTGCACAGGCAGGATGGCATGGCCCAAGGTGAGCGGCCCTGCCTGCACAGGCAGGATGACATGGCCCAAGGTGAGCTCTGCTCTGGGCTCTCCGGGACCAGCACGTTTAGGGTTCTCTGTGTTTGTCTGCAGAGAGCAGGGAGCTCCCCCGTCACCATGAACTGTATCACTGTCCCAGGGTTCAGGAGCTGCTCTGCACCCCCTTTGTCATGTTCTGGTGGCTGTGAGCTTGGTCTCCATTCTGCAAGTTATTATTTTAATGTGTGGTTAAAGTACAAAATATGGTACTTATAAAAGGAATGAATTAAAGAGTGTCACAGACCACTATTGTATGTAGTTTTCTATGTTTATTGAAACAGAAAAAGGTTTAAAAAGCCTGTATTTCACTCTTTGCATTCTTACAGTATGTGAATAGGGTGCATGAAATGTGTGAATAACTTTCAGCTTTAAAATTTCACTCTTTTTCAGTTGCACAGAAATAAGGACTGCCTCTTATCCCCTGCTGAATAGAAATGGAAACCTTAAGAAAATGTAGCAGTTAATTTCCAGTACAGGATGATAAGCAGTAGAATTTGCTTTTTTGTTTGCAGACCTTTTATGGGTTTAATTTCATCTCTCTCACCCTCTCAGACTGTTGGATTGCATTTTTAATTTATCAAGGAACTGTAGTTTGCACTAAAATAAATCTGCAGGTCTGACAGCTTGTCATGTAGGGAGGTAATAGCACTGGCCTGGGGATGGCTTCTATGCAGTCATTAAAAGGAACAGAAGGTTTTCCCTTCTGCTGGTTCTTCCCCCCTATTAAACAGGAAATAGCACCAGTATTTAGGAGTTTCAGTAAAGCTTTTTTCAAACTGCTAACCTCCCTGGGAAGAAAAGGAGCTGTAGGGCTTTTTATGACTCCTTAAAAGCACTGAGCACAAAAAGGGAGGAGGAGCAGCATGCTGTAGTGGATAAAACTGTGTCCCCTCATCCTCAGTGGGATATAGTTTACACTGAAATGCCCATTTGGTGTTTAGGGGGTGCAGCAGGGGATGTGGGGCACGTCTGGCTTTAGATGCCTGGACTGACATAACTTGGCTGCCAGCCCAGTAAGTGAGGACTTGATGGGCAGAGAGCCACCTCTACCATGTGGGACCAGAGGGAGGAGCAGAGAAGGGAAAGGTCTTGTTATGGACCAAGGAGGGGAGGATGCAGCCAGCAGGTTGGGCTGGGAGGGGGTGAGAGTGGAGTGGTAGCAAGGGGATGTCAAAGGGACATGCTGGCCTGTAGTTCTGTTCCCCTCCTGAAGTGATTTAGCTGAGATTTACAGGGGGAAGAAAGAAATACAAAGGTAATCAAACTTTCTACCCTCTCCCCCAATTTAGGATAATTTAGGGAGTATAATTTAGCTCTCAAAACTAGAGAAACTTTGATCCACTGGAGAAACAAAAGTTCACAAACTCCAGGAAAGTAAATTTTAAATAACCATTAGCCAGTTTGAGATGTTTTTAAAACACTATTAGCTTAAGTTGTGTTTAACTAAGGTTATTTGTTGCCTTATTCTGAAGGTGTAGAAGGACAGGAACATATTTTAATGTAGCTTTGTGCATGTTTGAGAGGTAATTGCTAAAGGGTAGTTTATGGTAGTATTTATGAAGTAACCAAGGTGAAATTTCACCAAATAATTTTTTACAAAAGCTTCCAGTATGATAAAGATTTCCAAGGAAAATCAGTGAAAATATTATCTAACTTAACATCATATAAATCCCACCAGGAAGCATCCTGCATATTCAAAAATGTAAGAAACTCCATAAACCTGGTGTCAGCTCACTAATAAATGCAGTAAAAAGCCCAGGAGACTTCCTAGTATTAATTTCAGCTGATGCCCATTGCAGAGGCTGCCCTGAGGGAGCAGAGCTCAGTGCAGCCCTGAGCTCAGGCTGGCTGAAGCACAGAAGGTGCCGTGGTCCTGTGGCCCTTCTTGGCTGCAGAGAGAAACTCGTCACTGGGTGTTGAACTCCTGAGAGCTCAGACGGGTAATGTTTGATGCCTGTCCTTTTTAAGCAGCTCCAAAACATTCATTTCAGCTTTCAAACATATGAACAGGAGTACAGGGCAGAGAATAAACCGAGGGAAAACAGCTCCATGAGTTCTGACTGAATGGTTTGAGCACCTGAAGAGGATGTGTTACCCCTTTGCTGCTGCCAGAACTGAGGCCATAGAGTGAAGTGCAATGGTACAATAGCAGTGTTTTGTCCCTTTCTTAACACTGGCTTTGATGACCCTGGCTGTTCCTTTCACAGCATTTGTCCAGAGAAAAATTCAGTATAAGATATCAGTTGTTTTGATAAAACAAGGCATTCTTTTGTACCAGGCTTGTTATTTCCTAATTCTTTTTAACCTATGTATTATTTATATGGAACAGGATCTTAGAAAACGCATATCCATAAAAACTGAGTTTGTCTTAAATTCAGCATTATGATGTTAAAAGTGCTTTTGGGTAGATTGTTCTGATTATGGCACATTCACTAGGAAGTGATTGTAGAACGCTGGATTTTTTTATTCACAAGAAGTCAAATTAGGAGTTCAAAACATTAGTTCATTATCATATGTCTGCCACTAAATTTTTCTTCCAATGAATCTTCGGAAACTTAAGATACATCAAAAAAATTTTATAGGAATACTTTTCCTTCATATCTTGTTACTTTTACAGCTTCTCCATTTTGCTAGAAGGAGAGACAAGTTCCTATGACTTGCTGTAGGGATCTGTAGTAGGAACTAAGCAATTTGTACAGTAGGGAAATAACCCAACAAAGGTAGCAAGCAACAAGTGGAATAAATTCCTCAGTGAAACGAATGTTCATTCCCCAGACTTGCTGTTTCCTGGCCTTCCATGCAGCGTTACAGGTGCAATATCTGCTTTCTCCACAGAAAAGCGCCTTTCCAGAGGTATTTCCCATGCCAGCTCAGCCATAGTGTCCCTCGCTCGATCCCATGTAGCAAACGACTGCAGCAATGAGCAGTTTCCTTTGGAGATGCCCATCTACACATTCCAACTGCCCGACCTCAGCGTGTACAGCGAGGACTTCAGGAGCTTCATCGAGCGCGACCTGATCGAGCAGGCGACCATGGTGGCCTTGGAGCAGGCAGGTGGGTGACATGGGGTGTCAGCAGTGGGTGAACACTCCATCTGTCAGCTGGGCAGCCCCACTTTTTGGTTGACAGTTCTAGTCATGCTTCATTTCTGGAGCTTGCACATGCTGCATGGGGAATAAATTCCAGAGAACAAAAGCAAATACTGTGCTCTTTGCAAAACAACACATGTCCCAATCCTCTGTTTCTTTTAAAACATCATAGAGAAAGCTGTCAAATTCAGTTAATAAAACAAAGAAACTGAGAGAGGAAGGAAAGGAGGACTGATGTGGAAGTCATGAGAAGTACATGAATCTGGATGGTTAGAGAGGGTTGGTACTTCCAGTTCTCATGAGGAAATTACATTTCAATGACTGTCAAAGGAAATATCTTCAAGTTCTATTGCAGCTTGAGAGAAGAGTATTTAGATATGTATTTTATGTCTTAATTATTATTCTGTAATGAGAAATGACATAATTTTAAAGCAATACTTCGGTATTGCCATGGGAAAAAATGGGAAGAAATTTAATATTATCATTAATTCAGATTTATTAGTACTTTAAAGTTTTAAGCCAGTTTTAAAGGATATGGGGAAAGGTATTTAAAATTAGTATCTGTGCATTATCAAACATCAGGTGTATTAATGAACCATGAAATGAACACATCTGTGTGGAATGCCCAACTGGTGATCTAAAGGAGTTCTAAAACCAGATTTCATGGCTAATTGTGGGATATTGAATAGACAGTAGCTTTTTGTGTGTGTGTGAATTGCTATATAGATTGATCTGAGTGTTCATCCTCAAACCTTGGTGCCCAGTCACACTGTGTGAGCTCAGACTCATAAACTGCCCCTTGTCAGGGCACTGCATTGCAGTATTTAGGCAGGACTTTGCTAATCTAGTGTCACTTTGAATACTTACAATGTATTGTCATGTGCTCTTTTTTTGGCTTTGGTAACTGAAAAGCAAGACATAGACAATAGCATCAAACAGTAAGTGCTTAAGAAAAAAAAACAACAAACCCCAACAAAACTAGCAAACAACCAAAAAACCCCAGTGTTCAGAAGACCTTTTTCTGGGAGAAATGAAAGTATAAAATAAGGTAGAAATGCCACCAGGCAACTATGAAGTATGAAAACTGTCAGTCACCTATCTAGAAAACATATCTAGTTTCTCTAAGAGCCAGGAGGACTGGGAAAAACAGAATGGCTCTTCCTCTGACAGCTCTGCCAAACCCTCCCCATTCCACAGGGCTCTCAGAAGATCCCTTGCTACAGTACCATTTTTGAGCTACCTCCTTCAGTGGAATTACAGCCTTTAGATGTAGTATAAACTAGAGGATCACAGTGGCTTTCTGACCTTAAAATCAGAGAATATGTGAATTTAGAGCTGACAAACTAATTCACAGAGAGCTGGCTGGCTTTGAACTTGAAACAGAGCTGCAGAAACTACCAGATTTGCTGCCTCGTAGCATTCCTCTCTCAAATCTCTCTGAAAATTAGAATAAATCATTTATTCTTTTCTTCACATTAATTAGGGCAGTAGTAACTTGACTGACACTGGAAAAGTCCCTTCATCCCCAGAGCCGCCAGGGATGTCTTAACCATTTGAAGTATTTGTGGTTTTGATCACAGGTATCTTTGTAGCCTACATAGACTTAGTTTAGTTTACTTGTATTTCATTCAAATAATCTAGAACTTCCTGGGAAACAGTTGCACAGTTTAAGTAAGTTAAACAGATTAAACAATTTGCTTAAGAAAATCATGTAAGGTTTCATATAAACCGACCTTTTGTCTTTGTTTTAGATGTAAAGATATCAGTTTCCTTTTATTTCCTACCTGTTTTAGACATTGCTGTACAAAATGAAGAGAGTGAATTAATTGGAAAGTCACTTAACAGTAGACATTGTCTCCTACCAAGGGTTTGCCTGTGGTTTGGTCAGTGACATAAAAAGTGGAGAGAAGGTGCATTCCCTGCAAAGGGCCTAAAATCTCCTTCAAACCAACCCCAAGCCCATGAAGGACAGCAGGTTCTGGAGCTGAGGTTGGGGATGTTGTTGAAGGAAGAGGGGTGTGCTTGGTATAGCAGCGGGAATTTCAAGAGAAAAGAAAAAGAAAAGAAGCTGATTAAAGGAGGAGGGAATTTGTTGGGAACTAACAGCTTACTACTCCCAGAGTATAGTTTGGGAGAGCAGAATTATGACCAACAGACTGTCCCACATGTCTGGGTGTCTGTAAAAGCCTGTAAGGTTTTTATGTTTTCCTTTATGTGCTTAAGCTCTTGCTACCATTGCATCTATAGGTGAAGTAATGTTCAGGTTACATCCTCTCTGTATAGAAACTCAGAGCAAAATTCCTGATTTACTGCAAAATTCTGCTTGAGATTATAAAGGAAAGGCTCAAATAAAGACAGTATGATTTACTCACTCCCCACTGCTGCAATGTACCCTCTACTCCTTACGTGACTGCTTTCCAAATATTCCTCTTAGAGGATAGAATTCACTACATTCATAAAAACATTTTGAGGTTTTGTCCAGCTTAGAAACTCAGCAGTTGATTATTGCCAGAACTGGAATGAGCTCAGCTTGTAAGTAATGGCAGACTGATCTCTGAGCTCTTGCAGTAATGGTGTGGAGTTTTGACAGAGAGTGTCTTGAGATATTGGTAGTATGAAATGATGTCTGTGTGAAAGGAGTTTTATAATTCTAAATATTATGCTGCAGCAAACTGATTTTCATTATAGACACGTGCTCCCCTGTGTGTTGTTAATGTGTGGGCTGACACAAAAGGGAGATATTATGAAAACTTCTGCTGTACTCATGAGTTTAAAAAACAGGCAGAAGAATGACTGGTCTAACATAGTGTTTTTAATTAAAAGAAAAAGCAATTCTATTGCAGTGCTGAAATAAAAATCAATACAAAAGTTAAAAGTACACTGTATGAACGTCCAAGAATTGCTTTCCTACACTTTTCTTTCTGTGCTTATGTTTGTGTTTTCTAAGAAGCATTTTATGCAGCTAGAAGCAATGTAAACAGCAATATGCAGTTAAGCCTGGGTTCCATGTCCTCAAAAACAATCCATCACAATTATGGAAATGTTTGATTCCAAACCATTAAGAATCAAGCCTTGTTAAAGAAAAATGTGCATCTTCTAAGGTTGTAGAAACATTTTAGTATCCCAGAATTTTTAACAGATTTTCACACAGTACATGCAGGGTGCTGGGATAGCAACCATTGTAATTACAGGAGAGCTATATTAATTTCCTGATTTCTGTGTAATTCAGATCTGAGTGACAAACACTGTATCACAGAGCAGGATAAATGCTGGGATGTCATAGAAAACAGTCTGGCTCAGGTTATGAAAGAACTGATGAAGCAAAGCCATAGCAGTGGATGTGCAGCTCCCTGAGCCCAGGGTCTGGTACCTGTAGCCCCCCAGGCCTGGGCATTGCCTTCTGTGCCCTCTCACTCCAGGGGTGTTGGTTTGCATTCCAGTCAGTAGCTGGGCACAGAGTCCGTGCTCCTTATGCACCGACTGAAAGAGAAGCTTTTATTTCATTGCTCACTTTTGCTCATTTCCACATGCACAGCTCGACATTTCGTTTCAAGGACACAAGTAGACATGAGTAGCCTTGCAGATGCCACTGCAAAGCTGACTTCATCAGCTAGGCTAAAGAGAGAGCTCCTGCAAGGAGGGCCTTTCTGAAGCACTGAAAATGTATTGGTGAATGCTTTATTTTAAAATGTCAGCAGACACTGAATGAGCATTATAAGCCCACATAGAAAATCTGTTCTTGTCATTTTCTTTGCATCAATATTTGCAAGTGCACACTTATTGTACAGACCTAAAACTAAGAATAAACAAAGCTGGTCAAGTCAGAAACATGGGAAGTGTAGAAGTGGCCCTGCTGACATGAGGATCTGAGGTTCCAGCACCTCTTGCTGTCTGACTGTTGTGAGTGGGCTGTGAACTCCTGTGCTGCCTCAGCTGGGCAGTCCTGTGCACACCCTGAGCTTCTTATGAGTTATTGCTGGTGGACTCCAGAGGGGACTCGGGGGCTGTTTGGGGTGAACGATTGCTTTTGAAAATTTTATGGGGTGTCCAGAATTAGACTTGCTTTGGAAACTAAAAATGTTATTTTGTGACTTGCTCCACTTGGGGGATGGATGAGAGGTGGATTTCTGGAAATCCCATGTACTGGAGAAACGACAGAAAGGCTGATTTCTTAGGGAGACTGAGCTTGTGTAAGCAAGGTGTCTCTTTAGACTCTACCACTGTTTATTTTTTTCAATTTAACTCTGCCACTATCGAACATGTTTCTAAATAAGCTTTTACCAATCTCAAGAAAATAATCAACTAGCTTGGCTTTAGTATTTCCATAAAAAGAAAAAGTCACAGCATAAATATTGTTTATTAAATGCTCCAGATTCCACGTGGGAAAGCTCTCCAAAATGCCCAACCACAAGTAAAAGAAGAGCCATCCAAGGTCTCAGCTTTAGCCACACATTCAGCCAGTGCAGGAAGGCAGACCTTGAGTGCACAGATGGAGGGGTTTCCTCAGTGCAGTGTCTGCTCTGTCAGAGAGCCTTTGAGGACTTGCCTAAGGCTGGTTTGCCTGGCTGTGTGAGAGAGGGCTGTTAATGGCACAGTGAATTGTGTTGAAAGACAATCACACTCAATCTGAGGTAGAACTCTACAAGCTGTGACATGATATTTCACACTTTTTCCCATCTGTAACCTTCTTTGGCTTTCTTTTAATTAATATTCCATTTTTTCTGTAAGAATTCTGACTTATTTTTGTTATGATAAATGCACAGTGGCGTTGGAGGCCGTGGTTTGCTCACAGCTCTGCAGTGAAACTGTAACCAAATTCTGTCACATAAGCACTTGAGAGGGGTCTTGTCCTTTGTGGCATCTCCTTTTCCCCTGTCCAGAGAAAGTTATAGTAAGCTGCTGTTTGCTACGTCCTTGAAACTTTTTGGGAGTTAATTCTACAAGAAAACTCCCAAGTCTGTAAAG